ACACACAGACTGTGAGTAAACGCAAGGTCCTCTAACAAGGATCAAACAGAAGTGGTTCCGTTGACAAGCATAAGTGTCAAGCATGCGTAACAGAGCAGCGAAGAAAATGGGCGACAGATGAGAAAATTAGATAAAGGAGCACCCTCATCCGACTAATAAGAATTGTAAGACAATGAGACTACTGGCATTGCGAGATGGAACCATTTCGTGTTATCTGCTCACTCGCAAAGTAACAACACAAATATGAATCACGTGACAGAAAAATCGAAGGTTTGAAACTGGTCACAAAGGGAAATTATGTAGGGGTAAAAATAACAGATCGACGAACTTGACCTTAAGATTAGGAGCCTTAAGAAAGCTTTAAGGAGACTTAAATTTTTCTGTACACGAAGCATAGGGACAAGAGGGATTAAGTCGCAAGATCCAACTGTAGTAGTTTAGTAAATTTTATTGCTTAAGTTGTAGTACAGGAGACTTGGTAATGCCATACAAGATGTCTTCGAACTGAGTGAGTCAAATAGCGAAGTTGTAGAAGGCGAAATGATTGGAGAGAAGCATCAGAAGCATCCGAGTAGTTTGTAGTGATGCGTCGTCGCCATGCGACAGCGAACGGTGGTACGCGAGTTAAGGTAATGCGTGTGTGCTTAAACAAGAGCGTGGACTCGAGTTCGGAGCGCAAAAGTCGCAGATCGGATGCCCGAACACCTAAACGGTGGGCACCCCGTTGAAGAAGACGGCCAGCAGTGGTAGTGCATGGGGCTCATAAACTCAAACGACCGGTTCCGATTACTATGTCTTCCGACAAATTGTGTGAACTGATCAACCGGTCATAGTTCCCCGGAAAAGAATTCGCAAGATATCGATGATCAATGGAGAAAAAAAGCGCTATGTACTTGTGTGAAAGATCTGCCCGTGTGTAATCGTCTGGCCAACCAAACGCAGAGCCTATATACGAATTGGGGCAGTCACAGCTGGAGGCCAGTTTGCAGACAGAGGCATGCTACCTCGGGGTTGAACAAATACTATCGATCGAAACCTAAGGAATTTATGTCTTCAGTTTCGGACTAAATCCACCGTCAACTCCGGCCATCGGAGGTGATGTCTTTTGAGCAGGAAAAGACAGCGTCAATAATACTAATGGGGCTTGACTTTTCGTGATCGATTCGCTTATGAATAACTGATGAGGTAGATAAAAATCGAGTGGCAAATTTGACCTCGAAAAGAAGACATTGTGAAAATGGTGGATAGATGAGGAAACAAATGCGTCAACTGATGAAACAAAAAAATATAAAGCAGGTAAATGTGGGATATAGGGGGAGAGAAGTATGAGCAGACGCACCTCGTATTCTATCGTTACGATCGGAACTGCACATCAGAGTGCAGATCAAATGTTTCAAGACTGAGACCAAGGTGCCGACAACGGGAAAGTGTAGGGAAGACAGAGTCTCGAGGCCGAGTTGACGCAAGCTTGAGTGGTTCAAATAGATACACAAGAAAATAAACCGGAGAGCTTGAGGATCACGACTGATCGAGACGGCGCTCAGTCCACCGTCGACCGCTAGGTTGCGCAAAACAGTGGCGACGAGCTGAACTCGGAAACTCTCGTCATCCCCATAGGACATATCGTGGAGATTGAAGAGACTGCGGAATGCAGGCGGATCGGGTGCTACGACGGTGGAAAGATCTGAGGAGGGGAATGCACAGAGAAGCAAAAATGAGAGATACTGAAAGCACATAGCAATAACGTAGAACGAGATAGTTAAAGTTGACTACGACTCTAAGCGCAATTCCATGACAGCAGCAAATGACACGTCAGGTGTAAACGGAAAAACCAGAGGATGCCAGAAGAGAGATCTGGAATTCTCAATAACACAAGAATGTGTGTGATAGTGGCATGTTCAACAGGATCCCAAATCAATCAAGCTGACCACACAATGGAAACTGTGAAAAGTGAAGACTGCAGCTTGGATGCGGATGGCCAAATTGCTCTAGGTTAGGGGAATGCAAAACGGTGAACACTAGATTGTAATCAAAGTGTTCGATGCTTGCAAATGACGGCGAACTGCGAAAGCACGGTTAGAGGATGGCCTTCATAGCTGCGTTCAATGACCAGTCGAGCATGATACGAGGAATAACGAAAGAAACGCATTAAATGAGGAGTTCAAATGATGAAAAAAAGTAACTACAGTGTCCTATAAACTTTACCACCTATGTGAATTTAAAGGAAAAAGACAGTATTTTAATCAAATTAAAAGGATGATTAACAAACCCTGGGGCGTTGTTCACACTCGCCTAACATTTGATCTTGTAATGACCAGTGATGTGCCATATGAAAATGGTCATGCGATTTTAGGGAACCTGGTGAAGACAAATACTTTTCCACATTACCCTATCTCAGCTAGGGAATTTTGCTCATTTCAGTGAAGGGTGAGGCGCCAGTGGAGATCTGTGTGCATCGACAGTTCTAAACATAATGGTCCTACTTTTATTCAGTGAAAGCTCACCGTGTGTGTGTATGGTCACATTGGTAGCCGAACTGATTAATGCTACGCTTGATCTTTCTTCGTTGCCTATTCCCACCTTAATATTTTCCAAGCTTAATGGCTGAGATATCATAATGGAGGAGCACACGGTATCAACAGTGCTGAGCATCAAGGCAAAAACTCCATTTCTACTGGTCCTAAAAAGCCGCCACTTGTACCGCAATTTGGCTCTTTCCTCTGAAGGCACTTCAAGTCCAAGCGCCGTAAATATTTGTTATTTACTCGGATATACAGAACTGTCAATACAAACTGTGCGTATGAGGTCACTTGTTCTCGCCAGGAACAATAATGCTTCGTTAATTATTTCGCCTTTTTCATGTTGCACATAGAAATTCAAACTGTTCACTAACTTGATGCATTACTAAGTAAACTTTGCCTCCAAGCAATGTGCAAAGTATCTGAGTCCGGGTCCATGATGGACCAAATCATACCTTTTTGTTGCAAGTTTACATGACTGAACACAGCTTATTTTGAAAAACAAAATCCGCGGAAGACACTAATTTAAACATCTGGGTAAGGAGCTGCAAATATGGAACCAGGGGGGGATAATCAGACAAAGGAAACTTAATTGATATTGAACAACCGGGTACCCAAGCCGATGAGGTGTCACAACGTAAAGGTGAATCAAGAATGACACTAGTGGAAAATTAGCGGACCGCCTGCTAGTAAGTAAAGATAACACGTGGCATCGGAATGGAACACACGGGCTGGATAGACATGGGGAAATGAACTGACAATGCAGACATAAAATTATGCTCCAACAATCCAGTATATATATATATATATTTTATATTTGTAACGGTCTACGAATAGACATAGAGTCATCAGAAACCATGGGACTCAAAAGAAGGTACAGAAATAGTAAAACACAACAAAACACATCAAAGACCGTGGTTTCGCCAGAGGGCGAGATACTACCCGGTTGCCCAAGCCGAAGTAGGGAGTTGACTTAGGGGACATCACCCCGAGCATTTGGTTGAATAGCCTGCCCGCATGGCAGCGGCGCGAATTCAGGGAGCCGGTGACTCATTGCTTAGTTCATACGCCTTTCGTTTGTTCCTTTGTCAAACAGAGGCCCAACGTTCCTCAAAATTACAGCATCAACTTGCTGGAATACAATGCTTCGCCAGCATTAAGCAAGGGAAGTAACTTTATTTAGTGGCGAGTCACGTCCGCCACGTCACAGTGTTGTTAAACGGACATATGTGGCTTTTTATAGTGAGAATGCTTGCCAGGCGAAAACCCACCACGTCCTGGAACACTGCCGCCGAACCATTTTCTGGAACGGGAAAATCCCGAACCACCCAGCTGGCATCACGAGGAGGTTGTTCAGCAAGCCAATAATCCAGTATGACACAGACGCACACTGACTGGGTGCAGTAATGTTACGTGGAACGTTCTGTCACAACGTTTCGATCATTTCTGGTGTAAACGTTCTCACAGTAGAAAAGTAGTGAACTACTACTGATAAATGCCAACGGTAGGCGGCAGTGCTGTTATTCGAACAAATTTGAAAATTGTTTGTCAACCTATGCATGCGGACAGCCAGCAGCACAGAAAATCGATAATTGTCTGCAGGTACTGGGTGCAGACGTGGCACCGCAAAGGCAAAGAAATGAGCGATAGGGAGTGGAATTGCAAATCAATTCGACCGACTCACGCGACAACAGCATGGAGGCAAGTGTGTGTGTGGGGGGGGGATGGGTGGGTGGGTGGGGAGATCAAGTTGTTACATCTCACGCTGCAAACAGGAACTATAAGGGAACAACATGAATCGAAGAGGTGGGAACAAAGAAACTACCGCAGTGAACGCTTCGGAGCAATAATATACTCGATCAAGTAAGCTGCAGTAGGAAGATGATAGATACCTGTGCAAATCGACCTATCGGTCAGATTCCCCATGATACTGTGTGGAACGTCCGTTGACAGCCACTGTAAACGCACGGTGGAATGAAGTGGGATCTACAAAAACCATGAATTTCGATGTTCTCATACAACGTGACCAAGCCGACATAAGCGGTGTTCGCACACCGATACCGACCCAAAAGACGAGCAACTGAACGACATTTTGGAAATCCCAACGGAGCCAACTTGGAGACATGAGAACGATATATCTCCACTGTGTATTGCCAAAGAGGGCAACTTACTAGCGCATTTGACGAGTAGCAACCAAGTGCGTGATATTTACTGAAATATAGAGCGAAGCGTAACGCGCTAAATTTCCGATCAAAAAATAAGACAAAGCTGATTCGTGTGAACAAAGTATATACGTTTTGAACAGCCAGGTAGGTGATGGCAAAATGTGTGACTACCTCGTCGATGATATGATCGATAGACTAATCGACTACTTCCAGTAGTCGATTGGTAACGGTGAAAACTGGTGAAACAGACAGCGTACAGGCATTGTATTAGAAAGTATAAGAGAGAACACGCAGCATAGCTGAGCGAAATATTCTAGGTCTTTTAGTTTTCTTCAGTTCGTCAAGTTAATAGAGAGAGCAAACACAATGGAGTTATTTAGGACAAATTTGACTGTATGATGTAATCAAACGGGAAGAAGTTATGACTGACTGTTAGGTGTTGGAGTACCTATAATGTAATAGGATTGAGAAACGTAATCTCAATCGAGGCCATGATTCACAATGAAAAAAACCTTGGTCATCACTTAGACCGCATTCGAAGTGAAGGGGCATCGGCGTCGGCCTCATCCAACATTGCAGGTGAAGATAGTTGTAGCTGCGTGTGGAACGCTGGATAAAGTGGTTGTAAACCCTTAGAGAACATGCAAGGTTAAAGGTCAAAACTTGTTCCCTGTGGAGCGGTCAAACAGTGAAAAGTGACATTCTTGCACCCGGACCGTTGATGCGAACACTATCCGACGAAGATAACATTTTTAAAACTGTTATAATGCTACTCTACTGCAATAATCCGTAGGTAAAACCATTAGCAGTAGAGAGTGACGAAGAAGAGTTTCTGAAAGCCGGCCTTGAAGTTTACGCTGAAGAAACGAATATGCACAAGTTCTCTTGCGAACTCTATCCTGCGTTTATCCAACGTCGTCGATGAGATAATCGTAAAAAAAATAAGCGCAAAGGTGGGTGATCAACAGGTATACAAAGTATACGACACAGTCGAAGAAGGCGTTTCAAACGTGCGGACAGTTCAGAGATGTGTTAGGGATTCCTTTGACAAACCCCGGTTGATGAATTTCGGCATATTTGTCCGGTGATCACAGGAGAAATGAGCTGCCCAAAGACGAGCAGCTCCTTAGCATCCTCAACGGAAAGCATCCATGTCGCTAGTTTAGATAATGATATAGGCCATACTGTGGTGGTATTCACCAGTTCATGGAAATTGTGGAAACTTAGAAAAAACGCAACTATACAGGTTCGCTAGGCAATGAACTGATGAGCTGAGTACCAGTGGAGATCTCGGTGCTCACAAAAGCATAAACAAAATAAAAACAGCAAAAACAGTAGAAGGGAAGAGCTTTGGATGGGTGCTTTACGACACTACAGTTATAAATCCAAAGAGAGGACTCTATTGACGAGAAGGAATGAGGGGGATGAAGGGAATAACAACATTCGGGTTCAAGGCATCACACCTTGCTAACACCGCACAGCCAAAATCGGTATAGTTTAATGAGAAAGGGATGTTGACAAAATGGCGGTCTTATGGCACAACACTTGACTCAAACAAGCCGTGTGGTCAGTATGCGATAATAAACACGCACTGGTGTCGGGTGCGCGTCAACCTTGATGAAAGATACGTGAAGTCCCTTGCGTAAAATGGGTTAAAGTAACAGCATCCGGTTGGGTGATGGGTGGGTTTGAATTGCGCATTCCAATTCGGGGTAACAAAGCAAGGTCCTATCAGTGAAGGCGACGAGTGAAAGATGTCAAACCAAACACCAATTAACAGGTTGAACTTCGTGATCCAGTGAACTGATCGATTTTTCGCAGCTTGGTACTCACTCGCTTTGATCAACAAACTACCTGCTCCGATCTCAAATAAGAATACAGCCACAGAGAAGAAAAGGGGACTAGTAATAAGGTCTGTGGATCTGTTACCAAGAAAAGACGAGACACAAAAAACTGTTTTGCAACTTTTGTTCTTTTTGTTGTGGTATATATTTATTACTTCCGTTTCATGGTTTTCGCCGGCTCTATGTCTATCTTATA